TTGTGGGTGAATTTCTTTTTTTTTTCCTCTCTTTTCCTTTTTTTTTTTTTATCCTTTTTCGTGTTCCTCCTTAGGGAGTGATTTCACTAAGCCTCCTAATTTCAGCAGAAAGCATGATGCAGGTGCCAGAAGGCAGCAAAATCTCTCCAGATGTTCTCGCAACGGGGAAGGGGAATCATTCTCGGTTTAAAGGTATCTTGTAAAACATCGCTGCCGGCTTGGCAGAGCCTGCAGGGCACCTGCAGGCCTTCGCTGCCCTGAGGAGCTCCACCTGGGCCCCCCACCCACGGCCCAGCAGCTCCATTTAAACTCAGGGTGGGACCTTCAGTCTCCTCCTGAGCTGGGCTGGGTATAAAATTGTGTTCAGCCCCACCTCTTGGGTGGAACCTTGGACCTGTGCTGAAGGCAGTCTGGTGTCCAGCCCCATCTCCTGGGTGGAACCTTGGACCTGTGTTGAAGGTAACCTGGTGTCCAGCCCTGTCTTCTGGGTGGACTGTGGGCTGGAGTTGTCTGTTTCTGAGCAGGAGGCCACAGCTCAGTGTGCCCATCACCCACCCTTATAGCTGTGTCCATTCCAAGACAGAATCAGCTCCTGTGTGGATTTTCTGATGTCTTATTAGGGCTGAGCTCTTGCTGCTGTCCCTTAGTGAGAGTGTTCAGTGTGACTTTTTTTTTTCCTCCAGAAAGCAATTTTCATGAAACTCATAGCATCTTGATGATATTGGAGGCCTCTTTTCCTCCACTAATGGGGCAGAAAGGAGCCAGGGGGCTCAAAATTACTGGTGAGGAGCTGAGCTGAATGGAGCACACCTGCACCAGCCTGCTTTCCCAGGCTGAAAATACACTTGGCTTCAAACCCAGCTCTCACCGTGCCAGGTCTCCGCTTTGTGAGCGTTGCCCTGCTGGGAAGGGAGGAGAGGAGGGTGCCTGGTGTGCCGGGATATAAAGCAGATGCACCAGGATACGGCCATGGGAAGAACAGCGTGAGCGCAGGCATCCGGGGCGCTTGCTTGCCGGGTCTGGGGATCACGGCAGAAAGACGAGCAGTCGGGATTTCACCTCTCCGTGGGCGTGCTGTGCTTGGAGGAGGATTGAAAGCAAACAAAAACCGGAGCGTGGGCGGGCAGACACCTGCCTTCTGCTCCTCTCCCGGGTGTGATGAGCCTCTCCCGGGCTCAGTTTCCTCACGGAAGACAGGACTGAGGGCAGAGGCCGTCAGATGGGAGGGGGACGGGTGGATCATCCCAGATCCCCTCATTTCCCCTGCTGCTCTGGGCTGCAGCAGATCACAGCTCTTTAAGGCTGCAATAATCCCCAGCCTGGGATTAGTTTTGCACCTAATCACTGCAGAACAAATACGAAGTTTTATTTACAGAAGCAGAAGAAAGACAGGGGGGGAAAAAAGCCTCAAGCACAGCTGATCCCAAGATAATCGGGAGCTGGAGGGTGGGAGGTGATCACTGACCTCGGAGCCCCCCTGGCTCTTACGTAAACACATGTCACCGCTGCACTGGAGCTGCAGCGTTCGTGAGCTCCAACCCTGTCCCAGCTTGGGACTGGTGACCCCACAACCTTTTGAACAGTTCAGGCCTGGACTTCGGGGATTTCTGGCCCTGATTCAGCCCCTTCCTTAGGCACGTGCTGCACGGTTAACCCACGAGCTGCCATGGGAGCCACGGTTTAGGGGAGGGTGGGGATGCTGCAAGGGGATGCTGAGCTTTCATGGCGGGGATAGGGGAGGTTGGGTGCTGCAGGTGTGTTGTTCCAAAGCCAAGCTGGTCCCCAGGAATTTGTATTTGCACTGGGTTGGGGTGGCAGTTCTCCTGTTTGAGAGCCCTGTCCCACTGAGATCCCCGCCCACCTTCAAGAAGGAGGCGAGCTGTTGCTCTGAGGGTGGCAAGACACGGGTTTATTTTTCATCCATGCAAGTGAACAGCCTGGCAGCAGGCAAACCAGGGGTAGGGATGTGCTCTATCCCTCCCCAAACTGCCCTCTGTCACTTGAAATCTCTGTGGCTTTGCCCACAGGTTGGAGATGGCTGGTGGGTGCCCAGGCTGGACCGGCTCCCAGCCCTGGGCTCAGGGGCAGCTCGTGACGGCTCCGTGCCTGCCGGTGCCTGAAATTCTCTTCCCCTGATGCAGACATTGACAAATAAATAGCTCTTTTCTGCTTTGGTTCTTGCATAGTGGAAAAAAATGTCTGACCTGATGGGAGAGAGGAGTCCTGGGCTGTGGAAACCCCTGGCTTTGTTGGCGAATGTGCCCATGGCATCACTGCCAGCCTGGCCAAATGCCCATGCTTGCACCCTGCCCGTGCTCCCCTGCTGTTGGCTGCTTTATTTCAGTTCCATTTCTGAGCTGGATTTGAAGGCCTTTCTCCTGGTTGAGCAGAACTTGACGCCGAAGAAGATGGTGGTGATCAGAAAGACAAGTGCTAGGGCCAGCAGGACCCAGCCTCCTGCTGTGGCTTCATCGCTGGCCAGGGTCATGCCCAGGAAATTGGCTTGGCTGGAGCTGACTGGGGCTGGAGTGGCTGGAAAATGGAGAAACAGGGCACATGTTTGGAGCTGGTAGCTCTGTGCTGGGGTGTGTTGGGTCATGAGCTCTCCCTTTGCTAGTCATTTGGATGCCGTGTTGCCATTAGACTGAGCTCCATGGGAAATCAAGGAGAAGCATCCAAATACCCTGTGGTTTTTGGGGTGGCCAAGGGGCACCAAGACAGCTCCATCTCTCCCACGTGCCCCATCCTGGCCCAGGTGAGGGCTGAGCTGTGGTCCATCATGGACCTTCAGTGCTTGGCTGAGCCCTGCATACCTGTGTAAGGAGTCCAGCTGTACTCGGGCCAGCCTAAGACCTCCCCGTTCTTCTCGTTCTCCTTCACCAGCCATGTCATGAGCGGCTCGAAGTAGCTCATCAGGGCATCGGCTGACATGTTGGGCTGCCCAGTGATGATCTCCATGGCTTCAGGCCACGGCTTGCTGAAGCCCAACTTCAGGGCCTCCCTGTGGCAGGAGATATCAACTGTAGTGGGTTCCCCATCGCTCTCTTGGCCACCAGCCCTTCCCTTTTCCCCTGGCGCTTGGGGTTCTTGGTATCAGCAACCCTGGGTACAATCTGTGCCCCAAGCGCTGCCAGAGCACAGGGAAGGAGGTTTTACTAGTAGAAAAGGGGAGATTTAGAGGGATCAAAGCCCTCCAGTGAGTCCAGCCTGGTGCAGAGCAGTTCCTGGGTGAAAGGGTTAATTTTGCAGGTGCTTTTCTTGAAGGGGTCCCAGCTCCCATCTAGTGTCTGCTGTTGCAATCACAGCCCCAGCACCCAGTGCAAGGTGCCCCTGCCCGGGGTCCCCCCGCCCGGGGTCCCCCCTGCCCCGCACCCCAGAGCTGGGGACCAGAGCATCTCATGCTGTGGCAGGGAGGAGATGGATGACCAGGGCCTGCGTTGCCTCATGTCTTTCTGGGCTGGCTTTAACGTATTTGGGGCCACATGACTCTTGGCTCTGCCTTGCCCATGCACCTACCCCAGGAGGCTCCCAGCATCCTTGGACTGGTAGATGTCACACGTGTGCAGGGGACCTGTGTGCCCGGCTGCTGCACAGAGCGCCTGGTGGAACTGGAACTGGATCACGAAGCTGATGAAGTACCTGGTGGGATGGAGAGGGGTGAGGACACAGGATTGGACCCTACTAGTGACTGTGCAGGGGAGGATGTGGTTTCCCCTCATCTCCTTGGCTGCACTCTCCCAGTCTGGAATGGCATCATTGGTTTTGAAGCTACACCTGCATCAAGTCAGTCCAATCTGCTGATGCCATTTTTCCTTTAACATGTATTTTACGATTGCCGGGGTGGATGAGCCCATCCTCCTTGAATAAGGAAAAATTCCCCCAAATCCAGCCTTCTCCCCTAAAGCTCTGTCAGGGTCCTCAGAGCTGCCCGACACCCTCAGGACGATACCACCAAGTATCCCACAGCCATGAAACAAGGTGCGATCACTGGCATCTGAACTGGAGATCCTGCTTCTGTGTCCAAGCAGTGTCCCTCCTGCCCCAGCCCTGCTTGCTCACCTGATGTAGGGAACATTGGCAGGGATGTGAAACTTTGCCCCGGGGTCAAAGTCGTCTTCAGACCTTGGTACTGGTGGGCATAAGCCCTGGTACTTCATCCTGGGCCAGAGAGGGAGAGTTAGCCAAGTGTGGGGAGGAGAAGGAGGGGTAAGCTGGGAGGGGACACAGCAGGGTGCGAGGACAGGGTGAGGGGTGATGTATCCCATCATGTCCCATGGCAGCAAACTGGACCACAGGGGGAAAACACCCAGTGGGATGTTGGCTGAGGCCCTTGCACCAAAGAGGGGTCTGAATTCAAGCACACCTGAGATTCCACCACTGCTGGTTGTACTCATCCTCATTGATCCGGCCATCAAACACCTTCCAGCGCCACTGGTCCATGAGGTATCCGAAGGGCAGGAAGGCAATTTTGTCCAGGGCGATGCTCATCAGGTAGTTGATGTCACTTTCTGCCCAGGGTGTGAAGGTGTGAGCAACACTGCACCCACCTCTCCATGCCACATGGGTTATTCTGCTAAAGAGCAGGGTGTCCCCACCAGATCTTGTCACCTCCAAGCATGCAAAGCCACCGTGCATGTCCCTGTTCTCTTCCACTCTGCCCAAACCATTCTGACCCTCTGCATTTCCAGCTGTCCCTGGCAGCCCCTCCACCTTTGCTGTGTGGTGCTCCCCTTCCAGCTCACCTTCGTTCTCTGTGACTTGGTCCAGCAGATTGATGCTGTGCAGGTGTTTGGGGGTGGAGACGGACAAGGCCATGACATCCCCAACAGCCTCATGGAAGCCAGGGTTGGCCCCATCGCGGAATGAGATGGGCTGGTCCATGTACTGCAGGAAGTACTGGACGTGGCCCATCTCGTGGTGCACTGTGATTAGGTCGTCCATGTTCACCACGGTGCACTGCTTGATCCTGGACCAGAACATGGGTGTTGGGGGGAGAAGGGAGGGCAGTACTGGGGTGAAAATCTCCAGGAAATATCACACCCCCTTGAACTATTCTTCCATTTGGCCTCCCTTTCCACATGCCCCCACCCCATATCTGATGCCAGGCCGGGCTGGTCCTACTCCATGGGGTTGCTATCTCTCTTTTCTCCTGCATCTCCTGTTGAACCTGCCCATTCTCTCTCCCTGTTCATCGTCTTTTCCATTCTCTGCAGCAGGGCAGGGAAGGCACTGATTGGCCTCCATCTGCTACAGGGGCTCCTGCCAGCAGTGCCAGCATCCTGGGTACCAGAGGCAATGCAGTAGTGGGGCTGCCACAACCACAGGACAAGCGACACTGTGGTGGCATCAGGCCACATGTTCTTGCTCTACAAAGCTACTGCTATCTGCCACAGCACCATGTCAGCTGCAGCCACCACTTGCTCCCCACGGGCACCTGAAGTCCTTGCGGTTGTAGAAGTCCCAGGCCGAGGCATGACACACCACCTCCCGCCCGTCTGTCGGCTTCTCGATCATGGACTTGTCCCAGAACTCTTGTGGCATCGGGATGAGGCCCAGAGAGGTAAAGAAATGGTCTGACTCTTCAAACATCTTCTTGGGTGTCCAGCCCTGGGGAGAGAGCCAGCAGAGGACCTGATGAGGGGCGAGGAGGGATGCTAGGGGTGCCAGGGACTGTGGGAAGGATGGGAGGCCAGGGACAGTCTTGTTTCTCTGGGTAGGGGAAATCTTTTGGAGGTGGCTAGAGCTGGATCCAGTTCTTGGCATATCCAGGAAGGGAGAGAATATTGATGAAGAATGGAGATGTTTGGCAACACCAGAACGTTTGGCAGCACAAGGGGTGGCAATGGCCAAAGGGTGCTGGGTCCCAAGGGGCTTCCCCGGAGCAACCTGGAAAAGCACTGACCTGTTGTTTCATGGCTGGGGTGGCATCCACCTTGGTGGCATCCGGGAAAGGTATCACCAAGTCAAAAATGTTGGACCATGACTGGGCCCACATGTTGCCTGGGAAGCATAGGAGGACAATGCATGGCAGGAGGGAGACAGGGAGAGAAGAGCAAAGGCAACCAGTTACTCCCAACTCCTGCACAGAGTGGATGACCCTGCCCTGTCCCTGGGGACCATCACAAGGATGATGCAAGCAGAATCCCATCCGTGCAGGAGACGTCAAGTCATGCTGAGTGTGTTGCCCTTCCCTGGGTTAGACGGGCTTCTGAAGACCCTTCTCATGAGGCCTTGGCCCTTCAGCCAGAGCTGAACAGAGACCAGTCTCAACTCTCGGCATGACTTGGAGCAAACTATGCCTGGTGGGAGACCCTGTTCTGCTTGAGGGCCTAGCAAAGCCCTTACCTAGTAGGTGAGCAGGGATGGGACCCTTCAGGTTTATATGCTCTGCACCATACTTTTTGTATAGGGCTCGGCGTACGTAGGCATGCAGGTTGAGGTACAGGGGCTGCAGCTGCAGATACAACCTCTCCAGGTCTTCCTCGAGGGTGGATGTCTCATACAGGGATCTCCAGAAGGCCCCATTGTCTGTGTAGCCTGTGGTAGTGAAAGAGTGGAAGCTGTTAGACCGTGTCCTTCTTCCTCTTGGGCTAGAGTCTGTCTTGCTGCTGTCATGAATGAATGGTTAGGTTGCTTAAACAATCACTCAAAGGTTTTGCAACAAAAGTTTTAGACACCCCATCTCCCTCCATATCTATGAGACAGTGGATCTCATGGGAGTTAGTGGGACCTCCACACCTTCAAGATTTTGACCCTGAGTTGGACAATCAGCCCAATCCTCTGCTTACAGGGTGTTAAGACCATATGGTGGGTCTCTAAGGGAGTGGGACACTGACCATTGAGCACAGCTGCCTTGTTGCTGAGTTCCACGTATCGCTTGTAGTTGTTCTTGATATTCTTCCCAGCAGCATCCCGCCAGCCCTTCCAGACAAAGAGGAGCTCATCATAGTCCCGTGAGGTGGCCATGATGTCTGTGAGGTCTGAACAGAGAGCAATGAAGACAAAGTGATGCTGTTGGATGGGCTGGACTGATGCAATGGTGCTAGACCCAATGTGCTGCTCAGGGGCCATCACAGAGAAAGTGGGGAGGCCCCTTCATGACCTTTCTCCGTGCCCGTGTTAGAAAAAGATCCCTCCTTTCTGGGCCTGTTGCAGATGACTCACTGGATGCCCTGCCAGACCTTACCAGGATCCAGTGGGTGACAGGTGTTGTTCTCTCTGCAGACTTTTGCCACACTGTATGTGGTCTCCATATCTGAGAGGAGGGTGTTGTACTGCAAAGAAAATTGGATCATGTGAGCTGGTTATCATTGCTTCTGCTCTTGGAGAGTGTCGCAGCCCATTGAAATGTCCCCAGGTGTTTTCCTCTGGTCCCTTCCAAGGCCAAGTGTGACCCCAAATGGAGGCAAAGTGGAGTCAATACATGAGGGACTAGGACCAGCAAGCAACGTGCCATTGCCACCCAAGCAGCCACACCCCACTGCAGCCTGGGATAGGCAACCTTTGGGTGGGAAGTCCTGGAGACAAGGATCACGTCTTTGTGTAGAAAGTACCAAACTATCACCTTGTTCAAGGGCAAGGGGTGGCTGCCCAGTGACATTTCCTAAAAGTTGGGAGAAGCCTGTGTCTCCACACAAGGTAGTGGCAAAGGACACCCTGTCCTGCTCTGGCCCCTTGTAAAAGTTGGGAGAAGCCTGTGTCTCCACAAAAGGTAGTGGCAATGGACACCCTGTCCTGCTCTGGCCCCTTAGAGCTCACCTCCTTCAGCTCATCCTCAGGCAGGGCTGCCCTCTCAAGGACACTCAGCTTCTTGAGGATGCGTGTGACACTTTGGTCCTGGAAGTCGGAGGTGTCGAACTCTCTGGCTCTCATGCCATACTCAAGGGTGTGCTTGGACATGTCCAGGTTCTTCTCCAGCTGCAAGGGGAGGAGGGGACAGAAAAGGAGATACTTCGAGGAAATCCCTGAGACACAGACCATCACTAGAAACACCACCTGGCATGTCATGACGGACAACCTCCCCATGGCTACCATTGTGGGTACCCCTAGCATGACAAAGGCTTGCATGGAAAAGGCACCTCCTGTGTGAGGCTGCCTTCCTTGGCTGTTGTCTCTCCCCAGACAGCCCCAAGGTCATTCCCATACCATGATCTCCTTGTTGTAGTCAGTGATGTTGGTGTTGTAGGCCCAGGATGCCTCGGTGTAGGCGTTCCACACTGCCTCAGCTGTGCTGTTGTACTCCGACAAGAACTCTTTAGCTTGTGCTTCATCTGCTATTTTGTCTAGAGGAGGAGATAAATGGGGAAAGAGAAGGGGAGTAGAGAGAGTCCTCCTCTTTGCAAGAACACCACCTCATGGAGAATCCATGGTTGAGTCTTTCCCAGAACTGCAGGTCCATTGAAGGGTGCCGCAACCTGGGAACAGGTTGAGCCAAGAAATGGGGGCAGAGGAGTACTGCTGGAAGTGTTCCGTTGGACAAGGGACCAGATAACAGGACACGCTGCATGCCCTAGACCCTCCCACTTGGGCAGGAAGGATACAGCTGAAAACAGATGACCTGTCACACCATGACTGGTGGTATTACCACAGCAGCAAGGCCACAGCTTTGGACAATGGTACACCAAGGGGCTGGCTAACGGCACCTGCTTCCTGGGAAGCAACACCCTATGGGAGTCCATATGGAGATGTTGTTTTTCTTTTCTGGCATGGGTATGTCCCCCACCGACAGCAGAGACCTCCCTCAGCACTGTCCTGCCTAGGGGTTAGTGATGTCCCTTGAGAGACCTCTTTCTGCCCCTCCCCAGGGCCAGGATGGAGCTGCAGCCTTACCAATGCCTTCAGGGTAGCCTTCAGGGATAGGGGGACGCCAGTCAAACTCAGGCCAGCCCAGCACCTCATTGGTCTTGTTGTTCTGCTCCTGAAGCCAGGTGGTGACAGGGCTGAAGTATTCCAGGAGGGCCCCAGCGTCCATCTTATCCGTGCCAGTGAGGTTGAACAGGATTTCCTGCCACGACTTGGAAGACCCAGCTTTCAACACTTCCCTGCAGAGAAGCAGAACAGGAAGAGCCAGCATGAGGCCAGGGGATGGATGGGAGAAAAGCGGTGATGGTATCTCAGCATCACAAGGACTGAAGATGCTATTCCTGAGTGGGACGTGAACCTGGGAACTGCCTCTGAAGCCCCCATCTGTCCTGCATATGGGCAGGAGGACTCCTCATCACGTACTCATGCACTTGTTAACACCCAGGGAGTCAACAGGAATCAAATGTGTGTGACCTCTTGTCTGAGTGGGAGCTCATGACAGGGACAATAGCAGTACTCTGGTAAGGACCACTCACCCCACCCCAGTGCTTCCATGTATTTCCATCTATCCATCCATCCATCTGCAAAACTATTTCTTGAGCCATCTCCACAGCCACTTTTCCTTCCTTTCTTTCTTCTTTCCTTCCTTTGCACACCATCAGCTTCCATGCACACATCTGCCCGTGATGATTGTCCCAACCCTCCTCTGTCCCCACCTGAGTTTGGCTCCAGCTTCTTTGGACATGTAGATGTCACAGGTGTGCAGGGGACCACTGTGGCTGGCTGCCTGGCACAGCGCCTTGTGAAACTGAAACTGGAGGATGAAGCTCACAAAGTCCCTGCCAAGGAAGCCGATGAAGGTGAGCACTGGGGACAAAGGGAAGCAGACAAGTCCTAGGGTGAGGGGGAAGGCACCCGGCCACATGTCAGCTCCCCACCATTTGTGCCCCCAAGCATCGGATAGTTGAGCAGTAGCAGTGCATCCCAGTCCCTGCCCACAGAGCTGAGCCCCCCCTGCTCCCCCAAGCCCCCGTCCCCTCACCAGCAGCTCCTCTACCTGATGTAAGGGGTGTTCCCAGGGATGTGGTACTTTGCTCCGGGGTCGAAGTTGCTTTCATTCCTTGAAACTGGAGCACAGATACCCTGGTATTTGGTTCTGCAGACAACAGAGAACAAGAGCGTGAGCTGGAAAGAGGGAGGCAAAGGAACCAAGGCAGGGAATGGGAAGGAAAAGCTTAAGAAATCTACACAATTAGAGTGCAATTCCATGTATTTCTATCCATCCGTCTATCCCT